CCCCCCCCCCCCCCCCCCCCCCCCCCCCCCCCAGGCCCTCGCCGCCCCAGCCCCGCCCCCCTGCCACTGCCTGCAGCCAGCCCTGCATCCCCTGCCCACAGCCAGCCCCTGCCACACCCTCTGCCCACAGCCAACCCCTGCCGCACCCTCCTGCGGCCCTGCCCAAAGCCAGCCAGCCCCACACACACCCCTGCCCGCACCAGCCCTGCACCCCCTGCCCTGCCTGTAGCCAGCCCTGCACCCCCTGGCCTGTCTCCAGCCAACCCCTGCCGCACTCCCCTGCCTGAAGCCAGCCAGTCCCGCACTCCTTTGTCTCCAGCCCTGCCAACCCATGCCACACCCCTGCCTGACCCCAGCCAGCCCACACCACTTATCCCTGTCTCCAGCCAGACCCGCATCCCTAGCCCTGCCTGCAGCCAGACCCTACCTCCAGTCAGCCCCTGCCCTGCCTCCAGCCAGCCCCATGTCCAGTGGTGCCCTGCAGCTCCCAGGGCAGAAACCCTCCACACCTGCTTCAATGAGGGGGGCAGGGAGCAGCTGGGACCCACATATGTGCACACCCTAGGGTGACCAGACAGCAAGTGTGAAAAATCGGGACAGGGGGTAGGGTGTAATAGGATCCTATATAAGAAAAAGACCCAAAAATCGGGACTGTCCCTATAAAATCGGGTCATCTGGTCATCCTAGCACACCCCCAGGGAGTGGTGGGGACCCACACATGTGAAATGGAGCTCACGTCTAGTTCAGGCCCAACGTTTTAAAAAAGAACTTTAGGTAGGGTTAACATACAGCCGTATTTTCCCGGACATGTCAGGCTTTTTGGTTCTTAAATCGCCATCCGGACGTATGGTAACAAAAAATACATACAGTGGCACATCCCTTAAATCAGAACTTTTTAAAGGGAACCGGTTGCTAAGAAATGAAAGGCTTTTTTTCTTTTAGTCATCCCTGCCAGGCCCCGCTGAAAATGTTCGAATTGGGCCCCACACTTCCTAAAGCCGGCCGTGCTGCCTGGCCCGCTCAGCGCTGTGCCGGTAAAACAAAGCGCTGGGGGAACTGACCAGCAGCACCCGGCCCGCTCCCTACGCTACCGCTACCCGCGTGTCCCCCACCCTCCCAGGCGATCTCCCGCTCCGGGCAGACTCGCTGCCAAGGCCGGGCGCTGGGCTTCCCACGTGCAGCGCGCTGTGACAGCGAGCCGGGCCGGGGCAGGAGCCCTCTGCCCCCCGGCCGCCCGCTGATTGGCCCGGGGCTCGGCCGGGGCCACGCCCAGCTCTACTGCTCTCCGCCCGGGCAGGCGGCCGGGGCAGAGTCGCTGGGCTGCGCCCCAGCTGGTGGCTGCGTGCGCGGATGTGCCCGCGTCCCCTGGGGAGAGGAGCGCGCGTGTCCCACCCTCCTGCCCCGTGGTGAGCCCGGCTGGTCCCCCGCGCCCAACATGCTGAGCAGGGTGCCCGGTAAGTCACAGCCGGGGCGGTCCCTGGCCCCCGCTCCCAGCCGGGCGAGCGGCTCCCAGACGTCCCCGGGGCGGGAGGAGGGGGTCGGTTTGGGGCTTGTGTAATAGGATTGTGTCCAACGTGCCTCCGTGCCTGTGTTGCGGCTTCCCCAGGCTCCTGGCTGCCCGGCTCGGTTTGCCGGCTGGGGTTTCGCAGGTGCCGTCAGCTGAGAGGCGGGAGCGCTCCTGAATAATTCACCTGGCCGCGGCTGGGCCGCAGCCCAGTTCCTCCCCGACCCCGCTTCCCCACCCCACCCGGCTTTGGGCCGGTTCCCCGCCCCACACCGGGGCTGTATTGCTACAGCTTCATGGGCTCGGGTGGTTTTGAAAAGAAACAGGACGTGATATAACCACAAGTGAGATGCCAGCGCCTGAAAGGAGTGTGAGTGTGTGTGTGTTTGTGTGTGGTTAAAAATTTAACCGTTTTAGAAAACGGTCTTTTGTCAGGAATTAGGACGTTTTGGAAACTAGCGATTTCAGATTTCTCTGGCACAGGTGGATTTATAGGGAATTTCGCAGCCTACTCATGACTAACAGCTGCTTCAATCCTGACGTTTTAAATGGGAAGAGGAGTCTGACAGGTTGTGCCAGTCTTTATTTTGGCTAGGCTTGACATTGCACCAGAGTTTGATTTGGTCAATAACCGCCAAGGAAAAACGCACGCCATCTGTTTTGGCTTTTTGGGGGGTGGGGAGAGGGTCTAGTTCTCTTTGATAAGAACTGTATATATTTTTGAAATGTACCATCCCTGTTCCCTCTAACAGAAGCCATTTCCTGAAGCTGAAAGTAGCACATGTTAAGGGCTCACACTTCCTCCCTGAAGTTAGACAGCTAATTGTAAAGAGAGATTACTAGTAGAACTGGGGAAGAAGTGCGGTGCACCATATGTGCAATAGATAAGAGCTGGATGGGGTGGGGAGGGGAAGTCTGAGGTTGTTTACAGACAGACATGAACATGTTGTTCCTGGTAATGGGTGAAGGTGAACTGTGTGAACACTTTTTGGCTATAGAGATGAAAAAACTCTACTGAGGCCAGACTGGGAAGACTGTGTACCAGGCATAAGCCTTGCTATGCCCTTAGAATGATGATAGTGGGTGTGTGGTATGTGTACCATAATATGTAATTAGTGCTTAGCATTCACATAGCATTTCAGAAGTGCTCTACAAACATTAACTAATCAATCCTCACACCATCCCTGTGAACAGCATTTCTTAAAATTCTAACTGTTGTGATTTGCTCATCATAAAACTTTTTATTAACACACATCTCTTCAACTTCATCTGCATTTGTATGTAATACTATATGGAATGGCATAGCTATTAAGAGAGATTATAGATATGCTGCAGTGGTCAGTAGATCAGCCAATAAATGTGAATAGACTCAAAATTGCTAACTGCTCACTGTCTGGCATCTGACTTCATGCACACTGTCCATACTGGATTACAATTGTTACATCTGTTAAGAATGTAAGCCTCTCTTGGAATAGGATATGTATTGAATGAGTGAATGTTTTATCATACTTGTATTTTTAAATTATATTATCTCACTGAATGCTAATATCGCTCTCCTGTATGAACTTTGCAGAGTAAAGAATATATATTTATTGGAAAAGGTTTTAATGCACACAAACACATATGGTTTGTGTTGTCCCCCGATGTACATCTGTCACTTAAATAGGATCTGCTGACTGGCTTTTTTTCCTACTGAAGAAGGTTAACTGCAGTTGCTTGGCTAGATTACTTTTATAGTCAAATCTACCACTTTGATTGGTCTTGGATATAGTGACATTTAATCCTAGTCTTTAGATCTGTCTAAAGATAGATCTTTTATTGCCGAGCTTAGAGCTTTTGAGCCCTGAAATAACTTTTACTTTTTTTATTTATATTTCCTTATGGACTCTTTTTCTCTTCCTAACTTTTTGTGTGTAGAAGAATGTATGGAAATAAAGTACAAATATTTGATAGCATGCTGACTTTCAGCAGCATCTCTTTGTAAACTTACTGAAATAATATGAGAAACGCTTTCTGTGTATGCTTGCTACAACACTCTTCTGTGGTGTTAAGTGCGAATGGCTCTTGGTGCGCATTAACCAGCACAACATCCTTTCCTGCTTACAGATTGGGCCTAATTGGATGTGACAGCCATTTTCATTCAGGGCTTTGAAGTGTGGCTTAATCTACAGTAGTAATTATGTTATTAAACATTACACTTTAGGTATGGGTTGAAAATCTGAGTTTAAAAAAATGCAGGCAGCGAGTGACTGAAAGGGCTCAGAAGACTGATAATGGGATATAGATTCTGTTGCCTGAAAGTCATTGGACTGAATCTGACAGCTGTTGATAAATGAAAGCTAGTGACTTTCTGATATCTGTTTGCTGGCCAGCGTGAAAAGATCTAGATGCTTCAGTCAATTTTAAAATTCTGTTCACAATTGGCATCCTTGCTGTTAATCTCAACCAAGAAAGAATTCGAGCAAAGAAATGGAACTACATTCTTGCATATAGAGATGGTCCCTGCAGATCAGAGTTGAAATATGTTGGCAGGGCTAGGAAATTTTATATAACAGCCTCTGTTTTGTTTCAAGTTGACTTTTTTGTTAGACGTGTATTGCAAACTTTTTTTCATCAGAGAAACAGTATGGGCTAGAACAGGGGTTCTCAAACTGGGGGGTTGGGACCCCTCAGGGGGTCACGAGGTTATTACATTGGGGGGTCGCAAGCTGTCAGCCTCCACCCCAAACCCTGCTTTGCCTCCAGCATTTATAATGATGTTAAATATATAAAAAAGTGTTTTAAATGTATAAAGGGGGCAGCACTCAGAAGCTTACTGTGTGAAAGGGGTCACCAGTACAAAAGTCTGAGAACTAATGGGCTGGAACATAGTGCAGAGGGATGGGTGTTGGGACACCTGGGTTTTAATGCTACCTCCTCCACAGTCTTGCAATGGACCTTGAGCAAGATCCTTAACCTCACTGACTCCATTTCCTGATCTGTAAAATGGGGGTTGTGAGACTTGCAACATTTATCTCCCAGGGATGTTAACAATTAATGTTTGTAAAATAACTCTATCTTGGATAAAAGAGGCTATATAAGTATATTTCAATCTAAATAATTTTTAAAGGGATATCACTTTATACCAGGGGTGGGCAAACTTTTTGGGCCAAGGGCCACAACTGGGTGGGGAAATTGTATGCAGGGCCCGGGTAGGGGGTTGGGGTGTAGGAGGGAGTGCAGGGTGTGGGAAGGGATGCGGTGTGCAGGAAGGGTCTCAGGGCAAGGGATTGGGGCAGAGGAGGGGTGCGGACTGCAGGAGGGGGCTCAGGGTAGGGGGTTGGGGTACAGGAGGGGTGCCAGGTGCAGGCAGGGGGCTTAGGGTAGGGAGTTGGGGTGCGGAGTGCAGGCAGGGTTCGGGCTGCCGGGGTGGCAGCAGCACGCACCAGGGCCAGGGCAGGTTCCCTGCATGCCTGACCTGGCCCCATGCCAGGCCGCTCCAGGAAGCACTGTGGCCCCTGGTGGATGGGAGGCGGAGGGCTCAGTGTGCGCTGCCCTTGCCACGCCTCCAGGTACCTCCCCTGAAGCTCCCATTGGCCGTGGTTCCCCGTTCCCAGCCAATGGGAGCTGCGGGGGTGATGCCTGGAGGCAAGGGCAATGCACGGAGCCCTCTGCCTCCCACCCCCCAGGGAGCTGCAGAGAAGTGATGCTGGCCGCTTCTGAGAGCGACGCGGGATCTGCGGCACCACGGGGGGCAATCCTGCGGGCCGGATCCAAAGCCCTGAGGGGCTGGATCCGGGCCGTAGTTTACCCACCCCTGCTTTATACGCTAGATACACTTTCTTCTTCCTGCATGACAATTCACTGTATTCTAGAAATAAGGGCATTGTTGAGTGGACACTTCAACTAGTTTTTGATAACTTAGAATATTTTTAAAGACTTCTCTCATGCATAATAGAGTTAGTGATCATGTTTATGAACTAAAACAAAGATGCAGGGAATTACTGACCACTTCACTCCTGGCCTAATCGTACTTGAGAAAATCAAGGCCAAATACTTATGTTTTCTCTAATAATTTAAAAGCCTTTGCTTTGGAACTTGGGGATTTCTTTTATAGAACAATTGCTTCCTTGATCTTGTAACTATTTTTTCCTTTGGAGTAAAGCCCAAATTGTATTTATTCTCTTGACCTTGAATCCACTCCCTATTCCCCCAGTCCTCTTCTTTCTCATCTCTTGATCCCATTCTTTGGATAACAAAGTGGTGGTGGTTTCAGGCAGGCATAATGGTGTGACACACAGCTCCTTACAAAAGTACAGCGAACAATAATTCCATACGACAGCCAGCGTAAGTGGGTACACTTTATTATGACACATGTACCTTTTTATTTTCATACTTGAGACTGAAAAGTCTCAATCCTTTTTCTTAGACTTCATAATGTAAACACAGCCTATGATGGCATAGCCTTCTAGAGTAGCCGCAGCCTATGCCAACTGGGGTCTTTCTGTTGGTGTAGGAACACTATCTACCTGAAGGATATTAGCTACATTGACTGAAGCACTCTTCCATCATCAAAGCTGCATCTACATTGTTGTTGGCATAACTATGTTGGTCAGTGGTGTGGCCTTTTTCACACTATGCCAATACAACTTTTAAGTGTGGATTAAAGGCTCGTCTACACTACAGTTAGGTCAGTTTAAATATGTCGCTCAGAGTTGTGAAAAATTTTATGCCTTGTGTAATGGAATTAAGCCAATCTAAGCTCCGGTGTAGATACTGCTATGTCAGTGGAAAAATTCTTCCAGCAACCTAGCTACTGGCTCTTGAGAGGTGGATTTACTACAGCAATGGAAGAACCCATTCCGTCACTGTAGTAACTGTTTACGCTACAGCAGCACAGCTGCAACTGTGCTGCCCTAGCATTTGAGTCTGAGCCTTGGCTTTCTCTGTATTATGTGGTGATGTGTTGGC